ATAGCTGGAAATACAAAGTTGAACTAAAAAAGAGTCAGTTTAGGTTGGGAATCTGGGAGACCTTTTCATGGAGGAACTCATTGTGGAATCATCTTACAGCTACCGAAAACTTTGTTGTTTGAAGGTGGCTTAAAGGATTGGAGAAACTGACTTCCACTTGGTGGAATGGGTACCTGTGTAGGGAGGAAATTACCCTTGGAGTCATACAGGAGGAGACGATAGTGAGTCTAATACATTATTTCTCTAATTAAGGAATAACTTAATCAAGATGTAACTATTTCCCAAATTAGGTATAAACCCAGACTATTCTTTGGTGGTAAAAAGAAGACCAGTCTCTCCTTGCTGTATATAACACAGAGGGAGGAAGGAACTCTGAGAAAGTAAGTCCCATGCTTTTTCAGAAGCAATATTAATCCTTCATCAAATCTGTTGCCCTGAAGACTTCTACTTTCTCTGAATATTATCTTAACTTTTATTTCAGGAAATGCCAGAAAGCTTGTTTGTAGTTGATGGAAGCTTAGAAAAGGAAAAGCAGCAGACTTCTTGCCCTGGATGTGTTAGACAGAAGGCACTCTCAGGGAGTCCATGGATTATTAGACTTTTTGGAAGCATAGAAGCATGGATTTTCCTGTCTGAACAAAGCTCATTAAGTCCTATAAGATGAGGCTGTTGGGGAGCCAATAGTACTTTTTTTTTAACTGTGGCTCTGATTCAGCAGAGCATTTAGCACACCTGATAGTGAAGCCTGAGAGTCAGTGACTGGAGGGTGTGCAGTCTTATTACCTAGGTTTATGCCTGATGGTATAAGCACCCTGGGGTTTAAAAATGATTCTGTTTACACCCTTTATCCCCTCTCACCCTGACTCACTGCTGTGGCTGGGGCACACCTCATACCTCTGATCATCCCTCTGGAAGGCCCTCCCATGCCTATGGGGCTTTGGGGCAGTGCCAGTGGGTGTAGAGGGGAGCAGGACAGGCACAGAAGAGTACTGTGAAGCTGGCTCTGGTACAACATGCAACTTGGCCTGCAGTGTTTGATAGGCAGGTGGCAGCCTGTTACAGATACCAGCATGGTAGTTGGAGCAGTTAGTTCTTCATCTTGAATGCAATCATGTCAATGCTTTATATAATCCAAAGAACAAATCGAGAAGATTTCTTTACGGTGTGCAATTCTACATAATTGCAATGAACAGACAAGGCACATTACAAATTCCATCGAATACTCAGTGCTTCTCAATTTCAGATTAAGGCTTTAAAATATGTAAAATGTGAATGTTCAGTAGTCTTGTGCTATCCCCAGTCCTTAATTACAACAGCACCAAACTCTAAGGTACTTTCCTTTTGTGTGAGACATTTGTACAGGCTTCTGAGCTAAGATAGGTGGGATTTAACGTGCATGGAGGGCAGTCCTTTCATCAGATGCATGTCTGGCCTTTCACATAGTGCTAGATATTTACCTCTGAAAACAAAAGAAACCCATGTTGCAGTGTGACTTAGCTGTGATTTAATCATGTTTTATGAAATAAATTTCTGTTTGTACAGGAATGGAGGGTGCTTAGAATTTCATTGGGGTGTTTTAATTTGATTATTGAAGTATTCAAGAAAGATGAAGCAATGTCTAAAATTTAAAACCCTTAAATCTGGGACTTCCTATCTTTTCATAACAAAGTTAAGCAGCCTTTGTTTTTTCTGGTGCAATTCTGACCATGATGATAGCAAATGCAGCTGGAAATGGCTATGCTAAGTGTAAAACACTCAATTCCTAGTTTTCACAAGCTTAACTTTAACCTTTATACAAATGTTACTTTCTGCTCTTGATGTCTACACCAGTGGATTTATTTAATAAAATATGCTGCTATTTATGGGTTGTACGAGAATGAAAAGCAGTTATTCCTCCTTAAAATATTTTGCCATGGTCCCAGAGACCTTGGTGGAAGGCTAATGGAAGCCAGTGTAGCCTTTACTAAAGGCCATGCATTCTTAGAGGCATTCATCTACTTTGCTCCAGGCTGTTTGCAGCTTTTTATAATCCAGAGAGCTTGGAAATCCTGAAAGTGCTTTTCTCTACTGCTCTTTGCCTTATCTTTAGAGTCTTGGAAAATGAAAGCCAGAAATTTACAATGTGATCGAAATGTTTTGCTCCATTGGAATTAAAGGTAATGTTTTGCTCAGTCTGGGGAGGAAAAAAAGCAAGTCTGAAAAAAATTAATGAGTGGTTAAAATAGAGCTGTTAAAATGGCAACACAGCCTGTGTATAAATATAGGCTAGCTCCTCAGCAGTGCTCTTATATGGCAGATCTGAGTGAAGGAAAAATATCAGCCTACTCTTATTCTGTACAAGCCTGTGTGTTGGTTGTTACAGTCTGGTGCCATATGTTTGATAGTAGACAAGGCTGCATAATACATGGAAATTATAATGACTCACCTTTTTTTCCTGTTGCAGGGACCTACCTTACCAGTGTGAGAGGGGAATCTTACAAGCATACTGTGGATTTTTAGTCTGTACCTGCTACTTGATTGTTTATCTTATACTGACCCACCCAAAAAGAGAAGAAGGGTCAAACAAAAATCATTGTCTTGTCACTTCTGTCTAAGAACTGGATGAATTTTGACACCTGCTGGAGAAGCTACCAGGACCATTAGAAATGGAGCAGCTCATGCTGCATCTCTGATCAGCAAAGCTTTCTGCATGGAGTACAAGAATCAAGTTGGCTTAAGTTAAACCATATGCAAGTTGCACTAATTGTTGTAATGGTACTGCTGATACCACTCCAGACTTCACTAGGGCTTTCCGAGGCAGTAGTTTCTCATGTAGTTTGAATGTTTTCAACTGACACTTGAATGTTTTTATTAAATCTGGTGTGGCTGTGAAAAGTGTGTGTGGGGTGAACTTTTTCCTGTTAAGTTCATGGTGAATTTTGAAGCCTCACTTCCAAGCGTGATCCGTGCTATGGCAGCAACCTACAGGCTTATTGTCACTTCTGTGAACTGCTACAGCAGTGTGGTGATAGACCAGCACTTTCAGCACACTGTGCATTACTGCACAGGGACTTGCCAAGTGTTTAAGCAAGGAGTTACATGCATAGTTGCCCACCACAGTGTCTGCGCAGAGCTCAGTGTTCAAGATGCCAACCTAGACCATAAAATTCCTGTTCCTGAAAATGGACTTGCCTTGCCTGGGAATGAGGACTATCACCAAATCCTCCCAAATAATCCAAGAATCAAAAAGGGCTCTTCAGTGCAAGCCTCCAGCAGTTTAAAAGACATTACCGGTGAGGCGATAAACCTTGCCAGTGGTAAAATAAAGGAGTTCTCCTTTGAAAAGCTCAAAAACTCTTCCAGTCATGTGGCCTACAGAAAGGGAAGGAAAGTTCGGTCAGAATCATTCAGTAGACGATCATTTGATTTTGACTTGATTTATGGGCACTTCAACAATGATGAGAACTGCCCTCCATGTGGCTTTTCGCAGAGTCCCTCACCTGTGGAGAAATGGCAGGAGAGCAATGATGCTTCAGAAGTCACCATGAATCCCATGGTTCCCTTCTCCCCTCATTCCTTCTCTGAAGAAAACCTCATTACTCAGATTTTGGAAAAACATAAGCTAGATGGTTCTTCTGGTGGAGATATTAAGGTGTGCTTAGACATCTTGCTCAAGTGCTCAGAGGATCTGAAAAAGTGCACAGACATAATAAAACATTGCATCAAAAAGAAGTCTGCAGACAGTGTTAGTGGAGGGAACAGCAATGATCCCCTGGCTAATTCAGAAATGATATATATGAATCTGATGACAAGGTTTTCTTCATACCTGAAAAAGCTACCCTTTGAGCTCAAGCCACCAGGACATAAGGAAGCTAGTGACTTGGCAGAACTAGTTAATTGTTTTCATGGTTTGCAGCAAACTCCCTTTCCCCCAGTATTTGGAGATGAGCAGCCACCTAGGTATGAAGATATTATTCAGCTGCCATCATCAAGTGCAGTTCCTCTTGGACTACCAGGTGATCAGTGTGAGGTGACAAGCACCTCTCAGTCCATCCAAACAAGTACTGTGAGCTTTACCTCAAACTCCCTTCACAGCGTCCCCCAGGAGAACAGTGAGAGAGCTGTGAAAGATGCTTGTGCTCTACCTCAGTTACCAGCCACAAGCCCTTCTGACTGCACATCTTCCACAGAGGCTCTGTACATTGAGGAGGAGTCTGATGGGGAAAGAACGTTAGGGAAAATAAAGAAGGCAGAGCAGAAGCGGGGCTGGGAGAGTTTAGAGCGCAGTTACCAGCTAGCTGGTTGTTCAGATCTAGCTGCCAATGCTAAAGCAGAACGTTCCAGAGTGGGAGATGTTGAGCTCTCCCACGCTTCTGAGAAAATTACTCCTTTAAAACAAGTTTCAGATTCTGTATTGCGTGGTTCCCAAGCTGATGTCTCCAAAGGAGAACAGATGTGCAGTAAGATAGACAATGATGAGATAGACAAACTGCTGCTGGACTTAGAGTGCTTCTCACAGAAAATGGAGAGTACTTTGAGGGAACCCTCTCTAAAGGAGAGTGAACCTGCCTGTTTGCAGGTGTTTGGCTGGCAGGGTAGGCAGGTACTACCTCTGGCTCTTGAACCCAAAAGTAAACCCGTTGACCCCACTTCCCCTTTGTCAAAAATCATGGAAACCAATGGTCATAAAATGGAAGAGGATGACAAAGCCCTTTTACTGCGTATCCTGGAAAGCATTGAGGACTTTGCCCAGGAACTGGTGGAATTCCAGACAGGCAAGGGAAGCTTGTCCAAGGAGAGGGAAGTGATGCAGATTCTTCAGGAAACTTTAACTCCTCCTTCACAGTCCCACCTTGCAGGGCAAAAAAGCTATGCTGGGGCTGTCTCCAGAGACTCTGTTCCAGCTTCAATTCAGCAGGCCCCAGAAGTGATTAAGGTAAGAGAACCAAACCTTTGATGGGATAGTGAGTAAAACGAACAGGGGAAGGGGGGGGGAGGGCAAAAAACCCACACACTAAACATCTGCTAAGTGATTCATTGTGCTTTGGATGCTGCAGTGTGGAATAACATGCTCAACCTGGCAGAAATGTAGTGTTTATTTAAATGCAAACAAAAAAAGGAAACTAAAACCCCTAAGCAAACAAAATATGCCTTGACGTGCAGTTTCACCTTTGAGCTTGTTCCTTTTGTGCTGGTGCTCCTGCAGGCTGTTTGCTTGTGGTTTAAATGGGTCCTATATAATAGAGGGTAGAAACAATTTTTCCGCTAACTACTTTATTTCTGGGAGCGGGTATTGGACTGTCTCTCATCAGTTCAATGAGAAATGAATGTTCCACCTCTCCCTTTCCCATCTTCAAGCAGACTCCAATAGCCTTTGTTGTCTGCCTCATCACTAGTTCCTAAAGAGAGAGATTCTCCATGGAACAAAGGTCAGAATCTAGGAAGATTTAATTTTCTTTTCCCTGTCCTCAGTGCATAAAGTCATTGCAGAGTCTGGATTGCTTGTATCTCTCAAATGAGAAGTAGGTTTTCCTAGGAAAAAGGGTCTTGATGGGAGCCTGCTTCAGAGGGAAGCCAAGGCTGTCTGTCCAGCCCTCAATGCTTTTCATTTGATAACAAGTGCCAAATTTTCAAGACAACTTGGTGCCAAACTTCCAAGTGCACAGAAAATATAGGGAGGGCTTCACTTCCAAAATCTGCCTTCCATGTAGGCACTTAAAAAGTGCCCAGATTGTAAGTGAACTTTCACAGCTTCTTCCAGTTGGAGCATGATGTGCATGTCTTCAAAACTCTCCACTTTCCTGAAAATACAGGTATTTGGTGCAATTCTGAAAGGAGGTGGGTGGGGTGTGTCTGACCCTATATGACAGTGCTGAGATCTTTTTAGACTAGGCTCTCCAAGTGTTTCTGATGTTTCTCTGGGCATCTTTGCTTACAGCAAATGGTGAGCATAACCTTGTCTGGTATGTC